CACACGTGGGGATGAGACACCCTCCCCATCAACGCATACCAACACCTCCCCGGGACCACGCCCTCACCATTCAGTTGTTACCATCAGAAGCAGCTCGTATGTAAAGCTGGGCCTGGTGGCACAGGCATGTGATTCCAGCTACGATTAAGCCTAGGGTCCACTTGGGCGATAGACTTGAGTTCGAAGCCAGCCTCGGCATCCTAATGAGAGTATGTCTCAAAGTAAAAAGTGAAAAGGTGCGCTAAGGGTGTAACTCAGCGGTGGGCTGAGCGTCCCGAGTGAAGCAGCCCTAAGCGGAACGCCTAGTGCAGAACAGGACAAAGAGGAGCCGCAAACCTGTGGCTGCAGTTTAAACCAGTGTCGAGGTCGGGAGGTTAGCACCTTTGGGTGTCCATGAAAAAGGACCAGTAAGTTAGATCAAAGGCACTGATGGCCTTGTAGCCTGTCCTTTGCCAAAGAGCGAGGAATAAAAGATGAAAGAAAAAAAATTGAAGTGATGGGTTTTGTTCAGGGAGCTGAGGGGGGAATGGCTTAGAGGGCGGACGCCGTACCAAACCTGCAGCCTGAGGACTTGACTTCTATCCCCTGGACTCACTGTGGAAGAAGAGACCCAACTCCTGAAAGTTGTCCTCTGACCTCCACACATGCGCGCACACACGTGAATAAATAAATGAAATTCAGTAAGAACAAAAGGGGAGTGAACAGGGAGGACGCTGTTTCCGAGCTGAGCTTCGAGCAGCTAAGTCACGACTGATGTTACGGCAGTGCTGCCAGCTAATAAACGGCTGCCCCATGGCTGTCGAAAGGCAAACAGCTCAGCGTTCAAATGCTTCTATTTTTCCCATTGTCTCAAAGCAGCAAAGCAGAGAGCGCTGTTCTCCAAAGACAAAGGCTGTGGAGAGAGACACTTCCTGCAGCCCAGGCTGGGGAAAAGCAGTGCACACTTACGCTGCGCTCTTTCTCTTTGTGATAATAGCAAATAGATCCAAAATACTCAAACTTTTGTGCCCGTCACTTGTGGTGCCCGTGTGAAATCCCACACCAGTCTCCAGCTCAGCAAATAGTGCCCTCTCTTCCCCTCATTTACCTTGACTACGGGGCTTTCCAGGTGGAGACAAAAGGAGTATTTAAAAAAGAACATTCACCTGTTTTCCTCCAAAAGTGTTGAAAATCAGCCGCTTGGTCCTGGTTCGGCTTGGTCCTGGTTCGCTCACCTTGCCAAAGCAGGACCAAGTCCTGCACTGTCTCCTCTGGCAGGCTTGCCGAAGGCTCCCAAGTTGAAAGTTTATCTGGTGCTTCTAATGTTCCATTGTCTAATTACCTCATTCTTTCTTTCTCCTCACCTTTTATCTGTCTATTTTTCTTTAACCTGTTTTTATTTCATTGTCTTCCTCTTTTATTTACTGTCCTTCGTTGACCTTCTCATGCCGTCCTCGCGTCATCCTTTTGGCTTTTTGTCTAATGGGGCACATTTTGGAATCTATGAATCATGTTGAAAAGAGAGCCAGTAGCTTCCCACTGTAGTCACCCAGGGGGACACACAGACGAGGGAGAACAGGGGCTGGAGAGGCCAGAGCAGTGAATGAAGTCTCTCTCTCTCTCTTTCTTTCTTTGTCTATCATCTCTATCTCTCAGATAGGGGCCTACAAGTAACTAGACATCCCAGTTCTTCCAGGTCTCCTCTCTTTTCACCTCTTGTCATCATTCTGTCATTGGTCCCATCAAACTTGGTGCAATCATAGTATCTGTCTATAGCCTGGGATACTCACTCCCCTTGTGATTGCTTATGACCTGCCAATACCTTCATCAATAATCCTCTAACTAAGCTCTCCTCAAGGACATAGATCCCTTGCACAGATGTAGTCTATGAGCAGCTCAGTCTCCATGGCAGTTCCCTAGTAAGGGAGCAGGGGCTGTCTCTGGCATGAACTTGATTGCCTGCTCTTTGATCACCTCCCTCTGGTGAGGTGTCCTTACTAGGCCACAGAGAAAGAGGATCCAGAATGTTCTGATGAAACCTGATAGGCTAGGGTCAGATAGTAGGGGAGGAGAACCTCCCCTATCAGTGGACTCAGGGAGGGACATAGGGAGTAAAGAGGGATGGAGGGTGGGACCGGGAGGAGATAAGGGAGGGGACCACAGCCAGGATCCAAAATGAATAAATTGTAGTAGTAATACTAGGAATAATAATGAAAAATAACAACAACAACAACAACAAAGCTCTCCTCAAATGACCCAACTCGAGTGGACCATCTTTTTCCCGCTGCTAGCCCAAGCCTATAAAAGATCCCTGCTTAACAGCTAAGGCCGAAGAATGTGTATTTGAGAAACTGCTATAGTGACATATCAGGAACTCGATTAGCTATAGATTGAAGCTCTTGGCACTGAAAGATGAATGAGGAACTTGTTTATTGAGGACTGGTGGTACCGAAGGGTAGGTGCCTTCACTGGTCACTGGACGTGTTAGGCTCAGATGAGTGGCACTATCATGACATTTACTGTACTATTATTATGGTCCAGATACCTAACAATAACACTATCATGTTTTATATTTTATATTATCTTGCCTACTTTCCAGTTGGAGAAACTAGGTGAATTGATTATTGGGTTTTGTCTATCTAACATCTCTCCCTTAAAATGGTCCTTTCCTGAAAGGATCTCATTTGACACTCTTGAAAGAATCCAACTTGCTTCCATGTACAATGCTTGATAACACATCACCCAAACAAGCAGTAAGTCTTTCATGAGTTTGGACATCTAGACAACACTCTAAAAGGATGATGACCTAACATCTAAGGCTTCCTCTCTTTCACTCTCCTGAGAGAAAACCACTTCCAGTAGGAAATTATATTGCCCCAATCAAAGAGAACTAGAGACAGGAGAAGGCCAAGGTGAGAGGGAGAGCAAAAAAGATAGTCTATTCATTCCTTCACCTGCTGTCTCCTAAATCAGTTCTGATCCTAGGTTATACAGTCTTGTGAGCTAGTACGCCTCTTTTGCTTTGTTTTGTTTAATCTAAATTGGGATTCTGTCCATTTGTAATTTTTTAGAAGTCTTGTAGATTAAGGGTTACTTATAGAAATTATTCATCTGAGCAGCAAGCAGCACACACATATAGAAAACTACCCAGGTTTTGGGACAGAACTACTGTAAAAAAAAGTATGTGTTCATTTGGCCTCCACCCCTTTCTCATTCAACTCCTAAGATCCTGGGAATCTTCAGAGTGACAAGTGGGGACTGACTACATGGCTGGCAGCCCTACCTAACTTTGATCGGTGCCTGGTCACAGGGAAAACCAAGGAAGGATTAGTTCTCCCTCAGCCTCTGGGAAAAAAGAAATGCCAATGATTCCATCAACGTGCCCAGGTAGTAAGGTTTCCAATACAGTAAAAATGGGCCAAATGTAGGATGATGAGCACATGGAACCTTCCACATGGCGAGCACCCAGATAAGACTAGAGGGGCCGTCATCCCACCTGACATATCAAGCTAAGTGCTTGCAAAACTTTTTTTTTTTTTTTACAGTTTTATTTTTCAAATGTGAGTGTTTTGCTTTCATGAATGTGAGTGTATGCAGTGGCCTGGGAGGTGAGAAGGAAGCATTCAGCCCCCTAGAGTTGGAGTTAAGGCATTTTGTGAGGTTTCCTGTGAGTGCCAGGAACTCAACTATGATCCTCTGCAAGACAAATGTGGTCCACTGAGGTTTACTGGGAACTCTAGTAAATTAATTATCCTGAGGAAGGACCCTATGTAAAAATCCTACGTTTTAGGGAATGGTGCGATGGGACAGAACATTCAGCCTGTGGGATCTGGTACTAGGAAACTACTGTGGGGATTGAGTGGAACTGTAGGATATCTATCCGGCTGATGTCTGCTGATGAACTGCCTTCTTGCTTGATATGTAGCAGAGGACCCCCACCTCTCTTGGTGTAACTGATGTGTGCTGTAAGGATCTAAGGGGGTAAATCAGGCCTTTGTTTTCTATGTAATCACTGGAAAACAGAATATGGGATCTCTTCCAGGTTCACAAAGATCTATAAACTGTCGATAACCCCACTAAGAAGAATGAAAACATCTTGCAACTCATAAGATGTTGGGAGGAGTCCTCGGAAATATTTTACATTAGTAGCAGGAGAGTGTGATGTGGGGATCAGTCCTATGCTTTGTAACAACATTCAAAAGGCAACCTTGAAATAATCAAAACATTTCTGAGAAAATTAACTATATATACAAGCACAAAGTTCATGTATATGTATAGAAATTCAGAAATATGCAGCACCTAAAAATGTAAAGTTCAGGATTATTGACATTTGATGAAAAAAAAATTACTAAGCAGGCATAAGGTAGAAAAACATGTCTTAGACTGATGTAGAAAGTGACCTGGAATGATACAATAATGAGACTATCAGGTGTGCTGAACACACGTGCAAGAGCTAGAGAGGAGCTCATGTGATCCAATGCCTTCCACACCAGTTTGAGGGCCAGAGTAAGACTCAGCACTCACGTGTAAAGCTGGTGAGATGCCACGTATTTGTTATCCCAGTGCCGAAGAGGCGGAGACACGTGTACCCCTGGGATTTGCTGGCCAAATTGATAAAACCCAGGTCCCAATCTCAAAATAACAGTGTGTATATTTTCTGATGTGCAAAACCTAAGGTTGAACTTAGGTTAGGGGCAGACAAAACTGATCCAAAACAAATTTAGGAAGTTGGAAGATGCAATCTGTGCCATTAAAGCAATACACTGGATCTGGTTAAGAGCAGATTAAAGGAGGGGTAGAGAGATGGTTAAGAGAGATTAAGAGCACAGGCTGGTCTTGCAGAGGTCCTGAATTCTGATCCCATTACCTACTGGCAACTTACAAACATTCTTGATTCCAGCTTTAGGGGATCCAATGCCCTCTTTGGCCATCACAGGCACTAGGCATGTATGTGTGCCCTTGCATGTAAGCAAATGCTCACACCCATAAAAAAAGACAAAGAAATCTTTTTGTAAAAGAGAACACTCCCTTCCTCAGCATATGTACTAAGATTATAATAACACAGAGAAGGTTAGCACGCCCTACCAAAGGATGACATGCAAACTCATGAAGCTGTCTATATTTTTGATGCATTTGTGGGCCAAGTTCTATACCTAAGACTTAGAAAGCATCTCAGAAGAGGGGGCAGAAAAGGTTGTAAGAGCCGGAGGACCATGACACCTGCTGCAAGACAGTATCTTCTATATATGACAGGGAAGCTGCACCCAGAAAATCGCAGCAATGTGCACAGTGTTCTACACAAGACAAGATCTGCACAATGACAGCACCGGTTGACGTCCCGATGGGAAATCTCTCAAGGCCCCACCCTTAGATGAAGAACTATAAGGAATTATGGCTGCTGAGAAAGGAAGATTCAGTCTTCTCCAAGGACAGGCCCTGACAGGCCATCTCCTCTCAAGTAGTCAGCAATAAAGACACACGAGCAACACTAAATGCACTCAGCAAGGAGTGTTTGTTTGTGTGTGTGTGTGTGTGTGTGTGTATAACAATAATTAGGAAGAGGTCAATAATTTTAGAGTGAGTCGGAGGGGCACAGGAGGAGATGGGGGAAGGAGAAGGAAAATGCTGTAAATTATATGCATGAAATTCTCAAAAAATTAAAATTAAATAAAATTTATATACAAACATATAAAAAGCAATATGTATATACATTGGTAGATTGCCAGGCCGGGTATACTGGCACACACCTTTAATCCCAGCACTGAGAAGGCAGATGCAGAAAAAGGTCTGTGAGTTTCAGGCCTGCTTGGTCTACAAAGCAAGCTGCAGGACAGCCAAGGCTATACGATAGAGACCCTGTCTCAAAAACCCCCAAGTAGGTAAATAGAAGAAAGTAGATTAGGTACTGCAGGAAAAGAACAACCAACAAACAAAATATTAGTGACTTGGAAGGTATGTCAGCAGAAACTATCTAAGATGAAAAAGAAAAAGCCGGGTGTGGTAGTACATGCCTTTGACCCCCACAGTTGGGGAGGCAGAGGCAGGCGGAGCACTGTGAGTTTGAGGCCAGCCTGGTCTACAAAGCGAGTCCAGGACAGCTAAGGCTACACAGGGAAACCCTGCCTCAAAAAATAAAAAAATAAAAAAATAGAAAACAACAAGAAGAAAAAAGACAGAGAAAAACAGCAAGCAAACTACAACAGAACACCAGTTCTGCCCACAACCTTGAACATCCCAACTATATATATGCAAACATTGTTGCCACGAAGATGCAAAACAGAAGACAGTAAACAAAATAAAGAGCTAACAACTGAAAAATTTCCAAGGAACATAAACAGAGATCTCGGAAACTCAATAAACTCTCGTCATGGTTTACATGAACAAAGTACACCCAAACACACGGTAATCAGACTGGGGTGCTCATTTCTCTGGGCAGCATCGTCATGTCCACACGACCTTCAAAGAAGAGTGAACATGGAGCAGTTTAAGGATCAAGCGCGCCCTTCACTATGCTCCCCAGTGTCTCGGTGTGTGGGATGTCTCCTGAACCTTTTAGTGGAGGTATTTGGGAGACGAACAGGAAGCAGGCTGTACATAAAAGACCCAGTACAGAATCATCATTTCTCTACATAAAGCCAGGGAATCTCTAGCATACCATCCTCATGAAAAGTAGGCCACCTTTAAATCCAAGTTTCAGTGGAGAGTCAGTACCAAACCTGCACAGACAATCCAGGACTTCTAGAGAGCACTCCATAACAATGAATTCAGCCAAGTCTAATGGTGCTATGCCCACGTCGGACAAGTAGCCTCAGAAGGCACCCCCACGTGTGTTCTAGATGTCTCTGCTGCTGTGTGTTGTTAGCAATGTCTTGAAATTCTTGTGACATGTATGTTATTTCATACCAGGCCATAGTGTGCGTTTATCCATTAAGAACATATGACATCCAATCCAAGTGGTCAGGGGCCAGGAGGATTGATTGTGGTGGTCTAAAGGCCAAAAGTTATGACTTTCAAAGTTTTCTCCTGAGGTGAGAATTTTGCTCACAAGGAATGAGATGACCATAAAGTTCGTGTCATATTGCATGGCCACATTTCTCAGAAATGGTTGGGCTGAAGATTCAGTGTCAAGTGAGAAACAGCAACCTGAAAGAGCGAGGTCCCCCCTTACAGCATGCTGTATACGCTTTGAATTAGAGGCCAGAAATGGTGTCACTGTCTCGGTTACCAAAATATATAGGTTTGTGAATGAAAGAGTGGAAGAAAAACTATATTTAAAGGTAAGTTCAGAGCCAGCTATATGGCTCAGTGGGTGAAGGCGCTTGCCACCACGCTGGATAAGCTGGGGTTCAATCCCCAGGATCTACACTATTGAAGGAGAGAAACAAATTTGCACAAATTGTCCTCTGACTTCCACAGGCATAGTGTAATAACGATGGCTGCAAAACTGATAAATAAATGCAATAAAAATATTTGTTAAGTAAGTTGTAAGAGCTTTCTTACAATTTACAAATAGCTATTTTCAGGCCTTAGTCTTAATTTCTCCTCATGTCTACTCGGCAATAGAGCAGTTAAGACTACTGAAATTCAGTTTTAGCTACCTAAAAATGTTAGAGCCTTTTCACATGTTCTACAGCATCTTATGAAAGGATAAGCTTGTGATAAAAGAGATGAGCAAAGGCCACCCAGATGAGCAGCAGAGTGTCTGCTGGCAAAACACACTAACATAGGCATAAGTCCACACGCATAAAAATATATAAATACATGTAAAAAATTAAATGAAGAGTGCTGGAGAGAGGTTTCAGTAGTTAAGAGTCCTTGCTGCTCTTTCAGAGGCTCCAAGTTCAATTCCTGTACCAATGTGGCTCACAACCCTCCTGTAATGGGCCCCCTTCAGGGGCTCCCACGCACTCCTTTGGACTTCGAGAACATCTGCACATATACGGCATACGCTCACACAGACATGTACACATAAATTGTGTGTGTGTGTCCTTTGAGCAGAATACTTCAGCGTAGTTTAAGAAAATAATCAGATTTTTAAATAATTGTATAGCTCATGGGAAAAAATAACTAAAAAAAAAAAAACCTACTGAACCTTTATTCAAAACTACTAACTCTCAGTGTAAGCAGAAAGGTTTTTTAAAAATTTATTTATTTTATGTGTGTTAATGCTCTAACTGCATGTGTGCCTGCATGCCAGAAGAGGCCAGTAGAGTATATTGATGGTTATGCACCACCATGTGGTTGCTGGGAATTGAACTCAGGACCTCTGGAAGAGTAGATGGTGCTCTCAACCTCTGAGCCATCTCTCCAGCCCCACGCAGGAAGTTTGCAGACTAAAAAGCAGCATGCCTATCATCCTGTTGTTTCCATTTTGTAACTTTGCATGTATGTTATGGAAAGAGGAAATAAATTTAGGGGTCTCTCTTTTCATATTTTCCTGTCTTCCCTTTCATTTTCAACTCTGTTTTTCTTTTATGAGAGAGCATCTTGCAATGCAGCTCAGGCTCGTCTCCAGCAAGTGACCCTTCCCCCTCTGCCTCCCAAGAGTTGGAATTACAGGCATGCGGCACCATACTCAAACACTCATGCATATACACACACGCCACACACACACGCCACACACACACCTTTCTTCACTACCCTTAAGAAAATTATGGATTCATGGTTGAGTAAGGTGACTGACAGGTCCCTTGTAAGCTGTGCTTATAGCATGCTCTGCATTGCTGCCCTCTATGATCTGGAGCAGCTGTTGGTCTGTCAGTGGATCCATGGCCGAAAAAAGTTGGGAAATTGAACCAATATGTGTTCCATTCTCCCTTACTTATTTGTGCCAACTGATGGGAGGTGAAATATGGAAAACATCAGCAAGATAATGCCAGATGAATTTATGCTTGGACTTGGAATAAAACCAGACACATGTGCTTAGAACTGAAGGTACCCCTCTCCCCCTTGTAAGTGTCACCACTTCTTGGCTTGGGTCCTTTATGCTGCCTGGGGCCATCATGGCAGTACTGGAGAAGTCCCTAGAAACCAAAGACCATCTGAGGCAAGAGTGTTTGATGACAGAGATTTGGCTCTGAGTCATGGATATGCATACAAATACAGAACCACCCATAAAGAATTAGCCATATACTAGTATTCTACCCAGAGAAGTTAATTTTCCATGGCTCTTTGGCTAAAGGGGAGGGGAGGTTATTTGTGTGGAATCCTTCCAGTTTGGTGAAAACAATGAATGAGATCATGGAAAGAAAACATCTTTTGCTCAACTGCCTACAGGCTTTAAAGAACATGGGGCAAAATGAAAATTCAGGCCTTTTCTTCTTAAGTTACTGCTGGTATAGGAACACATGCCTGCACTCAGAACTTGGAAGGAGAGGGTAGAGAAAGCAGGAGTTCAATGTCATTCTTTGCTACATTACAAGTTCAGGACCAGCCTGGGTTATAGGAGAACCTGCCTCATAAAAACCAAATGAAAAAAAAAAAAAAAAAAAAAAACCAGCAACAAAGAATTTGCTTCTGAATAGTAGCAACAGAACATAGCAGGACTCATTTAAGTTCCGGGCTCTGCAAAAGCCAGGACAATGGCACATGAAGCCTGTCCTTGGTCTTGAGGTCGGATACACACAGTGCCAAATCCTGTTTTTTTTTTTTTTTGTTTACAAGCTGTATATATCGCAAAAGCTGCTTAAACTTCAAGGTTCACTTTTGTTACTCATAAAACAGTAGTAGCTGTGTGTGGCAGTACACGTGTGTAATCCTGGCACTTAAAACGCAGAGGCAGAAGGATCGCTGCAAGTTCAATGGTGGCCTACGCTACAAAGAGATTTTAAGGCTAGCCTAGTAGAACTCTGAGTAAATAAATAAGTAAATACATTTAAAATATGGTAGTAATATGACCCCTCATAAAGGTCTTGGAGATTAAAGAGAGCACCCCATGAAGCACCTACATAGTAGCTGGCTCTTGAGATGATGCCTCTTCTCTATGTTATACATTGCAGTTAGATATCATAACAAAAATGCTGACTTGAAGGTCTTTCCATAACTTAAACAGTCTTTCTCCAAAAAAAGAGTTAAAAATGCATATTTTGACCTATGAGGACCTTTGATACCAAGGTTTTTATCTGCC